TTCTTTCCACCACTGAATCATGAGGTGACCAGTTACAAACAGCTGGCTTTGGGCCTTTTTGTTAGGAGTCCTCCTTCAGGTGTAAGTCACAGCTGTACCTGGTAGAGACTTGGAACCTGGAACAAGCACTCCACAGAGCTTTGAAGATGGGCAGAGTGAATGGCAGCACTTCTGTAGCAGAAGCGGCCAGCTTGACCGGCAGTGCCAGCACAGCTGCACCCTGCACCGTGGATCCCTGATCAGCTGGAGTTGTAAGGTCCTGGCGTGTGGCTACTGTTTCTTCCTCCTCCTTTCCTGCCACCTCTTCCTGGCTCCCCCAGGGCCTCCTGTGGAGTTGACCTCCGGGCACTCAGGTAGGATGCTGTGCAGGCTGCTTCCATGGGAAGCAGAATCAGCATGGTTTGGGGAATGTGGTAAGTGACTTGGAGGTGCTGCCAGGGTCACCATGGCTCCAGGCACCTCCACGTGTGCAGAGTGATAGAAGCTAGATGTGGCCTGGTTTGCAAGAAGTCATGTGAGAGTTCAGAAGGCCAGGCCTCTGCTCCATCCCCACCAGCCATGTGAGCACAGGGGAGCTGGCTCTGTAAGCACTTGCAGACAGTTTGCTCGCAGAAAACTGAGCCTGCGCCACCCAGCACAGTGGCCACATTTGCCTGAGAGTATGTGCGTCAGGCGCTGAGCTAAGCCTCTCGTGCACATTTTCTCAGTCTGTACAAAGCCCTGTAGAAGACAAACTAACAGGATTTCTAATGTAGCCCTGCAAACAGGCTTCTCAAGAGGACCCGAGCTCCTTCCCCTGCACCTGCAGAGCTGTTGAGTAGCACAGTGAGGACTCAAAGCTGCAACTGCCTGGCTCTCAGACACAGGTCAGCAAATTCACCATAGAGCTGACAGGGACTAAACCTTGGGCACCTCCACTGTACAGGACCTCCTGGGCTCACACGGCACTGTGCTTGCATGGCCATGTACTTTTGGGAAATACAACTGGAAAAAATGCTAGTTTAGTAGATTGTTTTCTAGTGAGTAAAAACTATGCTGTCTGACTGCTGTAATCACTGTGGAAATCAGCATGGAGATTACTCAAAAAACTAGGACTAGAAGCCCTATTCAACCCAGCTATTCCCCTCCTGGGTATCTTCCCAAAAGAATTAAAAACATCATACCACAGTGATGTATGTGCACCCATGTTTATAGCAGTACAGTTTGTAATAGCCAGATCTTGGAAACAACCTAAATGCCCACGACTGAGGGATGAATAAAAAAGATGTGGTATTTTTATACCATGGAGTGCTACTAAGCCATAAAGAAGGATAAACTGGAGACTTTTACAGGTAAATGGGTGCGACTTGAGACCATACTCATTAATGAAATGAATAAGACACACGTGTAAACATTGTATTGTTTCATTAGTGTGAGAAGCTGAAAGAAAAAACGTGTATGTATATGTATATAAAACTAGTTAAGATAGTTATACTACTGATTTCTCTGAGTTCACTGAAGAGAAAGATTTGTGCTGGGATTGTTCAGACAATTGAATGCAGATGTCTTGTGCTCTGGTGCATGATTTGGGGATGACAATGTGAAATGTGTGTACCACTGTTGTCCCCTGACTGATGTGTTCTGAAGTTTTGTTGTAGCTTCTTTTTATTTTATCCTTGAAATAAAATGGATTTGGAAAAGGAAAGAAACAACAACAACTGTGCTGTCTTCCTCCCCTCACACTTGCCCCAGTGCTGGGTTCAGCCAGGCACCTGGGGTCCAGTGAAGAGGACCTTGAGCTGGGGACAGACCCAGCTCGAGGTTGCAGGGCTCATGGCTTCTTCCAAGACAGTTGTTGCGGGCTGCCCCACAGCAGCAAGGCTCCCGGAAACATTCTGCTCCCTGTCCCCAGCTACCTGCGTCCTGAGTCAGAGCACAGAGCCGCCACCCAGATGGCATGTGTGCATGTGGCTCTCATCTCTGGCACAGGAAGTGTGTGGACAATGGAGATGACACAAACAAACAAAAAATAAGACAAACAACAAGCCCTTAATAATCAACACTAAACTCTTCTGTTCTTACCATGGATAATGACCGTGTCGGGCAGTTAATTAGACAAATCCTATTATTTTTCTGCATTTCATTATGACTTGTTGTTATCAGCTTTTTAAAATTTGTAAATTCCACATTCCAAATAGCTACTACTGCAGTTAATTTTGTGCTGGTAGGTTTTGTTTTTTTAAATCTCCTCTTTCCACTCCTGGCTTCCTCTCTTTCCCCATAGGGATGGAATCCAGGGTTTCCCAGCATGCTAGGCAAATGCCCTATAACTGGGCCACACCACTGCCTCTGTGTACTTTTTATAAAGGGGTTCCCTTACCCCTAAACCTGGATGCTAGCTAAACTCAGCCCAGAGCCTCAGCGATACTCTGCCTGCACCTCTGAAGTCCAGGAGTCCTCAAACCCGGCTCTGTGGTCTGCAGGGGCAGCACTGTTGATGTCTCCCTAAGAGGGGATTACAGCAGGGAGGGGCTGGCAGCCTGCAGTAGGGCAGGATCTGTTTGCCAAATTTGAATCCGCTGATGCAATTTCCTCGGAAATCTCAGTCCAAAGGGCATCCCCAAAAGCTGTCCTTGAACCCATGGCCTCGTGCAGGCTGGGCTAGCACCCTGCCACTGATCTGTATTCCCAGTGTCCAAAAGACGCAGCCAATGCCGGCTTAAAGAGACATCACAGACAGGAATGGGGTGCTGCACATGCAGCCTTGCATATCTTTGATGGCTCCTGTGGGGAGGTTTACAGAGTGGCGCTGAAGGAGGTGGCCCTCTAGATCCTCTGTGACACCACGCTATTCAGATGCCTTTGTTATGACCCAGGGGGCCCATGGCTGCAGGATTAGAGCCAGGCAGACAAGAAATTGTCTGCTTCCTGGGTTCCACTTCTCCACCTGGTGTCTGGACTGCAAACTACAGGAGATGGCGCTGCAGAGATGGCCACAGTGGCAGGTGACTCAAGCAGCTGGAGTCCAGGAAGCCGCCTCTCCTGCAGTGGCTCCTCCTGCAGTCACCAGGGCTCTAGCTGGTCACTGTCCTGGGGACAGCTACTCTGGGGCTGGGCTATAAGTGGAGGCTGCTCTTTCTGGCTACCAGGCTGTAGTGGAGAGAGGAGAACGTGGTGTCCACCAATGTTAAGATTAAAGAAAATCATCATGCCAAGAAAGCATGGTCTCTTTTGGGATTTTAAAAGGTAGAGAGGCAGAAGGAGGCAAATAGTCACGGGTCTGGACACAGCCTGACACGGGCCTCAGAGTCTGGCCAGCCTACTCTGGAATCGCCTGAGTTACCTGCTTCCGGCTTACGGGCACTCTCAATCTCTATCCCCACTCTGGACAGATAAACCATTTAGGTGTGAATATGTGCATACCCCCTCCCATGTGACCACGGGTACATTGAGTCATATCCTGTACACATGAAGAAGCCTATGCACAGTACAAGCATGCAATAGGCAAGCATATTTGGGATAATGGCATGGGCTGATCTGTGTCCCGTTTCAATCTGAATGTCGAAGTCCCAATCTCCAGGCTCTCAGGAGGTGATTAGGCTTGGAGACAGGATCTCTAAAGAAGTGACTGGTCACAGTAAGAGTAAGGCCGTGTGAGTGGGTCCTCAGCCAACATGACTGTGTCCTCCTATGAGAAGATCAGGACAAAGACATGTCCAGGAGACAACTGTGTGAGCACACACAGAGAGGACCACTGACAGGACAGGGAGAGGGGCTCATCTCAGAAACCTGCCCTCCATAACGGCGAGAAAATAAATCTCCACTTGTTCAAGCCGTTGTCTCTGGCAGCTGGTTAGGATAGACCTAGCGGATTCCGGCCACTTCACCACATCAGACACCAATGAGCAGGAAATGTGTGCCTTCCAGCCCTGTATCACCTTGCTGTAACACACTGGCTGCTGGAGATTGCATGCTGGAGACACTGCAGCTAGGCTAGCAGGCCAGGTCATGAGCCACTTGGTCCTGCCCAGCTCCTCTGGAGGTGCACCGCACCCTCTAGTGGGGTCTATGCTGACCCCCAGCCCAGATCCTGCTGGGGCTTCCAGCCTTGTGGTCTCCTCTCCCTCTGCAAGATCCTTGTCATGGAATAGAAAAGGATATGAGTGGACATGAGCTTTATTTTTATTTTTATTATTTGTTGTGCTGAAGAATTAAATCCAGGGCCTTTTACAGGCTGTTAGTCACTTTTAAAGAAAAGGTGGGATAGGCCTAGATTTGGAGGAGTTGGAGACATAATGGGCTAGAGACACAGGGTTGCTATAGCAATTCGAATTAGCCACCCTGGAGAGAGAACCACAATTGAAAGCAGGTCCCAGGGGAAGGAAGCCCAAAGGGGGCGAGGATAAGCTTCAAGGGCATCTAGACACTTGGGTCTTCCCAAGCAGGAGGACACAGAAGGAGCAACACCTAGGCCATCTTCTGTCAAATGCAGTCAGAAGTACTCTTTTTTTTTTTTTTTTTTTTTTTTTTCCGGTACCGAGGATTGAACTCAGGACCTTGCAATTGCCAAGCAGGTGCTGGTGCTGCTGAGCTAAACCTCCAGCCCAGAAGTATTCCTTTGGGAATAGCAAATATGTATTTTGGTGGTTTGTTTCCACCTCTCCATAAATGCCCTCAAACACAGCACCTTTTTTCACTGTTCTCCAAGACAGCCACGACTGATGAATTGGAATTCATGCTTAAGATAGAAATATGTTAGGTCTTCTTGCCTTTGGGTAGAAGAATGTGGCATACATCTGGCCACAACCCTGTGCCCCCCACATTCTCCTCCCTGTGACACTGGCTAGCAACTGGAAGATGTCTTGTGAGATCAGTGCACAGCAGAGCCCCCACAGCAGCCACTTGGGCCATTCAAGATTGCCATGCCCAAGAAACAGGTTTCCTTCTACCCAAGGATACATAAATGTGCTCATTTTTAAAGATTTGGAATGTTTGGAAGAGAAGTCAATCACTCAACAATCTTTATTTGAATATAGTGGAGCAAAAATGCTCTTTTATTAATCTGATGTACATTAAATACCTCTGCAGCTGTTACATGAACATTGTCTGGCATATAAGTGCATACACACATCCACATGTGATAGATTTATGCTGCGCATAAGCCATCCTGCTCGGAGCATGCCCTTTCACAAGGATGCACACGTCTGCCTCGGGGTATTTGTGAAAACACGCTTGGTCCAAAATTTTGGCAGTCAAAATCAGACACAGGTACATACCAAAAAGATGAGTTCACAGCTATACTTAGATGAAAACTCCAGAAACCTGAAAATGAATTTACTGAGTCTCACACATGCAGCACACATATACAGTACAGTAGGGCTAGCAGGGAACACACAGAGCGGACAGCTTACACAGCATGAAACACAGGAAAGCAAAGGACACAAGGCCATTCACCCAGGCAGGAAATCCAGGATGGGACCCCTGCCAAGATTTCATCACAGACGACAGTGGCGTGGAGGTTTCATGCATGTCCCAAGTGGATGCACATCTGAAACCCTTCTGGGGCTTGTCTACATGATCTAGACATTCACAAAGGACATACGGTCCTAGAATACACAATCACCTTTTGGAAAGTACACATCAAGAAAGAACGTTTCTCTTTCAATTGATTTAGATTTGCTATAATAAATATGTAGCAAGGGCAGTGGTGGAAATGAAATGAAGCCAATGTGTCAAGTTCTACCTAGGCAGGCCTGGTGAATATCACAGTGGAGGAAAGTTTCCTTCTTGCATAAACTACTTGAGTCTCAGAGGAAGACACCTTTTAACTTCCAGCTAGTTTAATTTGCTTTGCACAGCATAAAATAGCCAATTCCTGTGCATTTTCCCTCCAGGGACAACACCCAAAGACAGCAGGGTTTCTCTACCCCGTGGTTCTGATCTGGACGGAATCCCTACGTGTGTGGGTAGGAGGCTGAGCTAAGTGTCTCCTCCCGCAGGCTGCAGGGCAGTGCTGAGCAGGAGCCCTGTGGTTCAAATCCAAGGGGCAGGCTGTGCACTGGGAAGCTGAGCAGCCTTCATTCAAGGTCAAGGCAGGAGGGCGGAGGAAGAAGGACTCTGGTCTCCCTGGTGTAAAACCTCCACCTGTGGGTGATCTTAAGCTACGAGTGTGGTCTCTGAACCTGGTGCTGGGTATATCATGCACAGCGGTCACTTAGGTTTTAATAGTATATCTTCCTCACAGACGGAGCATGCATGTATCACCCCAAGGCATAGATAAGAGCCAATCGTAGCAAAATAAATAGAAAGTAATACATTTTGAGTATGTTTTAACTGGTGCTTTTAATAATGGCCATATATCTTAACCAGCACTGAAAGATCGCCTGCCAAGGGTAAATCCTGTCTGAGCAGAACCGAGGGCCCCTGGCTGCTTTCCCTTCCTGCCCTCCTCCTTGTGGTCAGGTGTGGTTCTAAGGCCTCCACTAATGCAGAAGGACAGGCTGAGAGCTGGCTACCTCTGTCCCCAGCACCAAGTCAGGTCCACTGCAGACCCAGAGTGTCAGTAAGTACCGAGCAACCGGCTGGGGACGGCCCCTTCGGGGAGTTACAGGCTGAGCTGACCGGTTCTTGCCTTTCCTGTTTACCCGTCAGGATGCAGGCTTGGGAAGTGGGTAGAAATCTAGCTGGGGGACAGGAGCTCTGTCAGATCCAGCCAGTCCATCACTCACAGTCCCCACACATCTGCTGCTCCCCATGTTCTCTGTGCCTCCACAACAGGCATAAATGGGCACACTGCTTAGTCCCCAGTGCCCCAGAAAGCCCAGCCTCACTCTGTATAGTCAAGAGGTGACAAGCTGGGGAAGGAGGAGGAACGTGCAGGAAAGGAAGAGAGTGAGTGTGTAGTGCCCGGCAGGGAGAAGGCAGAGCTGGTGGACACGGGAGGCAACGGGGGTGCTTAGCAGGTCCCTGATGACTTCCTTGTCCTGGTCCTGCCCTCCCCAGGTCCCTATACCCCAAAGTTCTTTGTAGCTTCAAGATATTTTACAACCCCCAAGCACTGGTTTCAAGCTGAAGCCTCCGAATGGCTTGGCATGGTAAGGGCTGCCAGAACCTGTTGGCACTTATCTGCTGGAGGTAGAGAAGAGCAAGCTGCTCTAGGCTCTTGGCAAAGGCAGCTTGGCTCGTTATAATTGGGATATCAAAAAGGTAACACCAAGGGCCGGGAATTTAGCTCAGTGGTATAAATGCCTGCCATGCATGCACGAGGTTGTGAGTTTGATTCCCGGTACAAAAAAAAGTAACACATGGGAGGTAAGCCAGGGGAGCCTGGGCCTGAGAGAAAACCTTGGCTTACAGCTTGGGAACAACCCTGCATACTCTCTTGTTTTGGACTCTGTAAAGAACCTCAGAAGAAACGAGCAGGATTTAAAACACACACACCTCTAGAAAGATGCAGCCACGCCTGCTGTTCTTTTCCTTGTCTAGTGTCTTTGTGTAATTTCCTGTGGAGACCTTTAGAGGCATAGCGTGCTGTGGGTACACTTCTGTTATTTTCCAAGTCCTGGTTAAAATCCCTCTGACAAAGGCCAGACAATCAAGGGGTCTTCTCTGTCAAAAGTAATTCAATTGCTGCCAGTTTCAAAGGTGGGAAAATGTCCTTATGAAGGTGGGGACGGGGCTCAGCAAGGAAGGGGATCCTCTTCCCTGTTCTCACTTAAAGCCTGTGAAGGGTGAATTATCTGCAGGCAGCTCAGGGCCTGGATACCTAGAATGTGCAGAGGTGCTTCATAAATGTGGAGGGAAAAAGCACATGACAGTCAGCCAGATCACCCCTAGCCTTCATGGGCACACACGCAGACCTGTGAACTGAACTCTGGGCACACCGAAGGCTGGGAAGGCTAAGCTGCCTGCGGGTGTTGTTTGTGAAAGATGCTAGAAATCCTGGCACTGGCTCTATGTCTGGTTGTGAACAGATTGGTAACAGGGAGAGAAGTCAACCTTAAGAGCAAAAGAATGGTACCCAAAGCAGGATCACACTACTCCTCCAACAAGATGTATCACATCCAGAGCACACTGACTGTACATCACAGGGGTTACAACAGATGCTTTGCTTAAAACCCACTACTCAGCAGGGGCAAAAACTCCTGAATGTGTCCTGCATAGCTCACTTTGGAGTGCCTGACGGTGTAAACTTTGTCATCACGGCACAACTGGTGTTGCTGTAGGTTTGGTAATCAGTTTGCACAGTCTGGGAATCAAAAGGAAAGCTGCTATTCATCCAGTGTGTCTCTGAATAACACTATGTAGCTTTCCTTCTGTGGTTTTAGGGGAGGCCAACATCACATGTTCCTGGTTTCAGAGGCTTGATGTGCGAGCAGGTACTGTCTTACTGAAGAAACAGATAAAGAGCATTCTGATATGAAACAGAAGAGGTGGAGAGTATCATACTCTGCTCTGCTTTTGCAGAAGAAACAGGAGGTTTTCCCAGAGGATGAGCTAGGAACAGTCCCAGGACACAGCAAGTCTCTGCAGTGGCCTCTTCTCATCCCTGTGACTTTATCGATGATGTCTCAGACTTTCCCTCCACCACATTTCCTTTCCCACCTCTCCTTGATTTCCTAAGTTATTTGGAAAAACAGTTGACCAGTTCTTGGTGAGAACTTGCACTCTGACTTGCTGAGTATTGTAAGCGAAGGTGCATTTCCCAGCTGAGGTAAAATCACCGAGAAACTGTTTCTGGTGGCCTAATGTTTGAAGAACACAATGGAGTCTGAGGAGTCCTGGGATCAGCCCTGGCCATAGTGCTATGGTCAGAGTTCTGTGACTGCATGTTCATCTGTCAGCGTGGGTCCTTTCTCTGGAGGGTTATGGTAACTGAGGTAACGCTCAGGAATGTGAGGAGCGTGGGGAGGTGGCATGAACAACACCAGAACGGCACTCTCTGGCCTATTTGGGAAGATCTTCCAAACAAGTTCTTGTTCCCTGTATTCATGTACTTATTTTTAAAAGTTTTCAGTATATAAGCTGAACCAACTTAATACTGGTAAAGATAGGTTTAGCAGCAGAAGATAGAGAAAATGAAGCTGTTTTCATGGCAATTTTCTAGGACTTGAAGAGCACAGTAGCCCCAAGTCTTAACTCTACCAATGGAAAAATTGGGGACCAGAGATGTTCAGTCACGCACATTTTCCCAGGAGAGATCTGGGGCTTCCTACTGCAGAGCTCCGATGGGACCATGTCTTGTGTCTCTGGGTCATGAGTCAGGCAACAAGGACTGAGAGCAACTTGTGCCTGAAGACCCAACACCCGGGTATAAGGTGGTGCAGATTCCTAATTTAGGACAGCTGTTTGCAATCTAGGCTGAGATGATTCAATGATAGTAATAGGACTCCAGAGCATTCTGAACTGATTCTAAGTAGCTATGGGGAAATTTTAGTTAGAAAAAAGAGCAGGTGGGATTGTTTGCTAGGCTTTCATCTTCCTTCCACTGGGGATGAAATGAGATGGTAGGTCCATGTCTGATGGACGCTAGCAGCCAGTTACCCTCACACAGCTGTGAGTTTATGTTTAGCCTTGTGGGTGTTTCCTAATTCCCATCTACACCACAGCTAGCCCAGCAGGCCACAGCCCACCCCTTTAGAAGCAACAGGAGTCCTGACAGACAGTCAAGGGTGAACAACATGAAGCGGGCAGACAAAAGCACACAGGAGAGGGAAAAGGGGTGACCAAGAAGGTTTGTGACCAGCGTTGTCCAGAGGATTAGAAGAGATCCCTCTTGGCCACCCAGGAGGCTTAGTTTAGGTGATAAGAAGGCCAAGCGTGGCCCTTTGGAAAGGGGACACATGGTGACAGGTCTCATGAACCTGGGTGTTCAGATAAAAAATTCTGAGCACCTATAGATATTTTATACATTTGGAATCTGCAATGGACAACAGAGACTTTCTAAAACCACGGGATAGCCTAATAAGCCAGGTAATTGTGAAGGACAGCTAGCAGCAGTGACAGCCGTGCACCCTGCTACCTTGCTGTTAGACTTGTCTTTTGCAGTTATTCCGTAACTTCGCTAAAAGACCTGCTCACTCCCCAGCAAGTCTTTCTGTAAAGACAAATCGAGGAGTAGAGATGGGAGGAAATGAGTCCACGTGGAAACAGAATAACGCAAGGCTGCTTTCTTGGGTTCTCAGCTGCAGTCTTCTGTTCTCCCACAGCTGGACAGAAGGCAGAAGCGGGAGAGGGGGTTCTGCCTGCTTTGTTGACGTTCCTTCTTCCACCCACCCCTGCAGACTTTGAGTTTTCCTGGTGCTCTGTCTCTGACACATACCCGCCTCCCCCGTGACACCTTCTTCCTGCCACAGCCTCACCCCGGGTATCCCTCTATGAGGCTGGTTGATTCATGGCTTCTGTTAATGAAAGACACTTTTCAGTATGGCTCCAGAGGGACCCTGAGGACAGGAGGAAGCCCGAGGGGCCCCAAGGAGTGAGGACATCTCTCCATGCAAAAATGAGTGGGACAAAAGCCTGCACCTCCCAGAGGCCTCCCTGCTCTCCGAGATCCTAGAAGAAGTAATGAGGCTCACCCTCCCTCAAGACAGGGAGAGTTAAAAAGGAATCTTTTTAAAACATGGGATTTATTTCCTGGCTGCAAGTCTACAAGGAGGCTTCAGATTTCAAAGCTGTGTAAAGGGATGTGTTTTGCAGAGGAGAGAGAAGGTCTGTTGCCTGATAGCTGGCCTGGGGGAACGTCCTGGGACCTCTTGCTTCCAGCTCAGGGAGACCCCAGAGGTAAAGGGGAGCAGGCAGACAGTGCCAGGAGACACCCCAAGTCTGCTCAAGGCCACTCTGGAGTGCAGGGTGGCTCCAGGACCAGGTGCCAGCTGGGGCTTAGAGGGGGCACCTCTTCCAAGATCCTGGTTAGGAAGGTGCCAGCCAATTTTCACCCATGGAGACAGGATCAGGTTGTTCCTTAGAATACAGGGAGAAGGACCATTTGCAATTCCAAATGGCTTTAGGTGTGAATTTCTACCTAATTTAGAAATCACTACAATTTAAATATCCATTAACATTCCCTAGGCTGGAGAAACCAGGAAGGCAGATGCAGTTTTTATTTTTTTGGTGCTCCTGGAGATTGAACCCAGGGTCACTGCCCTGAGGCAACTAAGTCACTCAGTTGCCCAGGCTGTGATCTCTCTAACTTGTCATCTTCCTGCCTCAGCCACCCAGAATGCTAGCAGTACAGACCCGTGCTACCACACCCAGCTCAGAGGTGGTTTTTTAAGAAATAATTCTCCTTCCTAAATCTGCCATCTGGCAGCCTCCGCTGCATGCCGGTGAGGACAGGGTAAATGGAGGCAAAGTGACTTTGAGGTCTTATGAACTCTGTACACGGGGCACAATCAGCGACTCTGCTATGGTGCTTTTCCCTCAGAGTTCTTAGAAGTTTTGTCAGAAAACTTTCTTCTGCTCACTGGGTTTGTCGGGGAGCTGCCCAAGCCTTTGCTTTCTTGTCAGCACAGCTACCTTCCTTGTGTGCCTGGAAGGGACCCGCCCCAGCCTATGTGTGCCATGTGGTTTGCTGTGGAAGGCCCTGCTGTAACAGCAAAAATTGCTGGGTGTCCTTTTCTAAGTAAACAGGAAATAGCACTCTGTTAAAAAAAAAAAAAAAGAATCCTTCTCCTCAGCAAAACTGTAATAATATGCCAACGTATATTTCCTGTTAACACGGCAAGCTGAGCAGGGCCTGTTTCTTGCAAGTCTTTTTCTTAGTGTTGGACTCGCCTTCATCGAGCAGCATCTTGGGGAAGCCCAGCCAAGGAGGACATGTTAGCAGTTTTTCCACTGATACTTTGGGAGAAGCAGCGTCACAGGAAAGATAATAATACGTGAAAAATAAACCTGTGTCAAGTTACATGGAAGGGGAAGATGTCACGCATCTAAATGTTAAGTCACAGCAACAAGTTGTGTTCTGATATTTGACCACTTTTCTAGATAGGAAGAATCTGAAGTCTGGGGTCTCTCCAGAGACAAGACCCAGGCCTGGGAAGAGAATGCATAGGAGTGGCTTTGGTCCCTTCACATCAGGACCTGGGTTCGTGTGTCAGGCAGGCGGAGCCCCACAAGTCCCCCGCACACCAGCACGGTCGAGGCCAGCAGGATGGGGATGGCTTTGGTGATGCCCACCAGGGAGCCGAAGATGAGGTTGCCCAGCACGGCCGCTGCTTTGCAGAGTGCATTCAGGAAGCCGAAGCCTGTTGCCCTGTTGGGGGGGAGAATCAGGGACAAGGTTTAGGAATGATTCCAGGATGCCAGTGTCAGACACATTCGTCCTGCACAGAACTGTGTGCTGTGCTGAGAAGGAAACACTTGTTAGCCAGTCAGGGCCAGCAAAGCCCAGCTGTTGCCCCTGTTTGTTCCTGCTGTCTTCAGTGGGCTCACCTAGTATCCCTTTGGATTCTTATTCTGACCCTAGGTCCCAATTCATCACAAACAGCAAGAGAGGGGATTTCAGGGTCTAAGAGAAGTCTCTTCTCTTGTCCCAGTGGTACTGAAAGAAAGGATCTCATACCAAAATTAATCTTACCCCATTGGAACCTATTGCTTAGGAGAAAAGCAGGTGGGGCACCTATTGTCCCCTGCCCCAGGGTGGGAGAAGGTGGATCACTGGCCCTGATCCCAGGTGGGAAGAGGGAGGATCAGCAGATTCTCACTGAGGGACTCCTCCGCTGGGGTGTGGCTTAGTCTGTAGAAGAGTTTTGACGCGTGCTGAGCTGGCAGCCATCTCAGAGTTACTGGAAGGAATCAAGCTATAGACCTAGAGATAGTGCTTGCTGGCTTCTCTGCGTTCAAGAGGAGTAAGTTTGTGTGCATAGGGGACCGAAGCCAGAGTCTCATGCACGCTTATGCCTGTGTCCTACCATTGCGTTCCAAATCCAGACCCACTTCCCATTTCTTGACAGTCTTCTGAAAGGATAAAACCTTTTAATTTTAGGGCTTTTTTCTTTCTTTTTTCCAGGGAGAGGAGTAGGCAAGGGTAGTCTTGGGGACTGAACCCAGGACCTTGTATACACTGGTCAAGCACCATACCACTGAGCTACCCCTTGCCTGTTTCCTGTAGCACACGTGAGTGAGTCTACAGTGGTCTTCTGGGCAAGAGACTAAGTTTTGCTCATGATTATGCATCTCACCTGACATTATAAGGATGTAAATTTCCTTCTGACTTTATGCCAGCTCCTTCCTTCTTGGCTTCGCTGCGTATCCATGAGTATTAAGTGCAGGACAACTTTTGGATAGTTTCTTTTTTTAACCACAAAGGGAAGTACATCTTCCACACTTCAAAGTTAATCATTTAGCATGTCTTTGATGGGTACATTTGTGTGGGTTCTCTTTTGGCAAGTCCTACAACTGCTCATCACTACTCATCCTGTTCCCAGTGCTATTTCTGATTGTGTGTGGATTGCCTCAACCTCAGAGATTCATGCGGTAATTACCCACACAGCCCTCTCCACACTGCAGAAAGGGGTGCGTCCTCCTCACTGAGTGGCCTGAGGCCAGTCCCTGTGCGAGCAACTGCTGGGCAGAAACACTTCCAGCAAAGGGGAGAGTGGCCAGTTCTTCTTCCAGCAAAGGGGAGAGTGTCGAGTTCTTCTTCTGACCAAGACATGGAGAAAGCAGATGCAGCCAACACTTAAGGTTGGCAATGCTGCCAGAAGGAGCACGGTGGCATCTCTGATGGCAAGAAATGAGGCCTTCTGGAGAAGAGTGTGTGCTACTTTTGTATCTTTTTCTTAAGAAAGATACTAGCAATACCAATAGTTACCAAAAAGATAAGGAGATTTAATAGGCTGATGACTATTTTCAAATGCAATTGGTAGGAATTATATGTTGGGTATGGAAGGAGAACTTAAGTACAGTGACGACATGGTCCCTCTCCTCCCATTCTGTGGAGAGAATGCCACTGGGCTGACACGGCTTTCTGCTGACCCTCTAACTCTGCCTCTGTCTCTGTCTCTCTCAGGATTATTAAACCTGGGGCCTTGTGCCTATTGGACAAACCAGCTGAGGTTTACAATTTAAAACAAAGTTCAGTGAGATCAAATGGGCTCCTGATTTCCCTATGAACTTCAGAAATTGCTGCAGTACCTTTACTGAAACTGATTTATATATGTGTGCGCACACGTGCGCACACGCACGCGCACACACACACACACACACACACACGGAATTAAACAAGATCTTGCCTGTACCATGTGCTATACCTAAGCTATACCCCCCAAGCGTTTTTTAAAACTTTTATTTATTTATTTAAATACTTTGGTACCAGGGATCAAACTCACAACTGCATGCTTGCAAGGCTGGTGCTTATACTACTGAGCTAAACCTCTGGCCCTAAATTTTATTCTGAGGCAAAGACTTGCTCAAGTGCCCTGGTTTGCTTTAAACTTATGATGTTCCTGCCTTGACCTCCCAGGTAGCTAGGATTACGGGTGTGCATCACCATGCCCAGCCCTGACAGCCAGCACAGGTTCATTAACACACTGCTGTGTGTCTGTACCCTCCCTCCTCCACCTCCTGTCAGCACTAATCTTTCTGTCTCCACGGTGTCTCCTGCTCAAAGGTCATTTAGCTGAAATCATACAGCACCAAGCCCTGTCAGATTAGCTTCTTTCATTTTTTAAAAACTCCATTCCAGCTTCTAGATTCCAGAATCATAAACTCCCAGCCACGTGGTATGGTGTGTTTGCTGCTGATAAGAAAAATGAGAACATTCTCTTGTCATGAAGTCATGACCTCTTGTATCATACCAGACAGGGTATGAGATGCGGGAAGCTGTCTCCTGGGTCACTGAAACTGTGACCAAGGATGGGACAACCTCCCAAGACGTGGGCAATTGAGAAAGACACATGCGTTGGAGCCTCTGCCATGGAGCCTTCTGTAAGGACAGCAAATCTTTACTGCTCATGGGTCTCCCTCCCTTCCCAAGCAGAGAGGGGACTTCAGATGACAATCTGGGCAGAGCTCACAGCCTGCCGGACATGAGTCCGGCACTCAGGAATGTGTGTCTGTCCTTCCTTGGACGGCACGGGAATCCCTCACATGTCTGCAGCAGGAGGCCAACATGCCCAATGCGTGGGTCAGAGGCAAACCTACATTAGAGAAGTCACTTACACAGAGACTCTGCCCCAGGGCATATGTTTTGAGGACAGTAAGAGCTTTCCGTGCGTGACTCCTTGTTTTCACTTAAAGTAAGGCAGAGAAGGACAAGTCACTGTGCTCATAAAGTCTTTTGTGGGTGGGGAGCTCAGAGCTTGCAAAGTCCCCTTTACCCACTCCTCAGCGGTTGGGTGACCACCTGCATTTTTTTCTCAGAAGAAAGATATTTTGCTATCTCTCTTCCCCAGCAAATGGCACAGAGGAAGAATAAGACCACCTACTAGCGTTCTATAAGCTTTCTCACTTGCTCATCTCTCCAGGAAAAATCCTTAGTTCACAATTATTGTTTATTTTTTCTTTCTTTTTTTTTTTTTTGTGATACCAGGGATCAAACTTAGGACCTTGCATTTGCCAGGCAGGCACTTATGCCGCTGAGCTAAAAATCCCCAGCTCCCCATAATTATTGTTAAGGTGTTTAAAATGTTTCAGCACACCCAGGGACGGTGCTGCACGCCTGTAAACCCAGCACTTGGGAGACGGAGGCAGGAGGATCACTAGTTTGAGGCCAGCCCCACCTATATAGCAAGTTCAAGGATAGTCTGGACTACACACCAGGACCCAGTCTCAAAAATAAATAAATAAATAAATAAATGTACTGATGCAAGCTTTTCCCTAAAGATTCCCTGGTTGCTCAGAGAAGCCTGTCACACTCCATGTAGTGGCGCTGCTTGGCCACACAGTGCCTGTCTGTGGCCCATGCCTGGGGTGGTTTGTGGCAACCCTCAGCTGACCTGGGATGTGGCCTCAGGGCGTTCCCTCAGTGCAGCTGGTTGGTGGTTCCTCCTCGGGGGTCACACTTTGGTGAGGTCTGCTTTATTTTTATGAATTTCTGCTTCTCCCGGAGGCTACTGGCTCTCCCTGCACAGCATAAAGACAGCATGGTCATCAGTCACATTAGCTGATCTTTGGTTTTTTTGGCCTGAGTGCAGAACCAGCCTCCTGAGTTTTGTTTTGTATTTGTTTTTGTTTTGGAATAAGAAAGGGACTTAAGCAATGCTGGTGCTCAGAAGAGTGCCGGCCAGCAGCAGGAATCCTGGGAGCCTTGCCCATCGTTTTAAACGTTGGTGGAATATCTGCCCACTGATTCATGAAATTATTTGGGAAAACAAAATTAAACGCTGTATTTTGAGAAGCCCTGAAATTGGCCAGAAGTGGTGCTACATGCTGAGATCCTAGCCCTCAGGAGGCTGAGGCAGGAGTATTGCCTGGAGTTGGAGGCCAGTCTGGGCTACCTAAGACCTCATATCAATATGTAAAAAAGAAAAAGACATGACGCAGATCCAGCCTCAGCTGCTAATTTGCCTGCCCTAGGGTCAGAGAAATACGCCTTTTAGCTCCAACTTTGGAAGAGGAGCCCTTTCAGGATAGTGTAGTTAATGATCTGATTGGTAGAAGTTCAGAAGGGAATACAGAGGACTCAGCATGGGGCATTGTGGAAAGCAGGGCAGCCTCAAATCAGAAATGCATCCTGACCTAAAGGGTTATCTAGGCTTGTGGGCAGCCAATGGCAGTGTGCTTGCCTGGCACGCAGGATGCACTGCAAAAAGGAGGAGAAAATCCACCTGGAAGTCAATTACTTAAACCGAATGAATTTCACGCATCTCATAAACAGTGCTGCACGTGAAGACCAGGTTCCCACGCGGACGTCAAACAGTGACAGCAAGGCCGAGTCCATCTGAGCTATTGGACTGAAACAAGCTCAATGTCTCAGCGGTTTTTGTTTTGCTTTTGTTCCTGTGAGGGCTGAATCCAGGACACTCTGTCACTAAGCCACACCCCCGACCCTTTCTAGTTTTCCTTTGGAGATTGAGTCTCACTTATTGCCCTGGTTGGCCTTGAGCTCTGGTCTTGAATTAGTAAATCCTCCGGCTTCCTTCTCCCAAATAGCTGGGATTACAGGTTGTATCACCATGCCTCTCTCGAATATTTGATAATAAGCAAGTTTGTCCTTAATATACTCTAATTAACATATTCTTCTGTTTATATAGCCATTGAATCATCATTATCTTTTTTTTTTTTTTTTGAGAAAGGTTTCTTATGACATTA